TAAACTATAGTGCAATTACAAAAAACAGGTAAATATAAGGACTTATTGAGTACAATATTTCATATATGTACTTTTAAGTGCACTTAACGGGTAATGTGACACAAAGTACCAATAGATGTAACATCTAAAGTTACAAAGTTAAACTATATTTCAAAGTTTAAGTTTATAATAACAAAGTCAAAAATTATGTTAAATATTAAAGGTTTGAGACGAAAGTTCAGGTCTAAAATGCTAATATCAAGGAATATTGAAAATGAATATCTTTAGAAATTGTTAAAATCATATTTCAATGAAAATATGAAATAGTTTATTAATAGTATTGAAATTCATATTAATATAATTTATGCTGTCATACTGTATATGTTTATCGAATATTAATAAATTGGGAGCATTATAAGTACAATTAGTCTGTAGTGCATTAATAGATAACTAGTATTTAAAAACAATTCTGGGCACGAAATCCTTCAAAAAATGTTTAAAATAAGATAAGAATTTGAAAAAATCTTATAAAATATGAAAACTCCAAAATTCTTAAAGAATGTTCCGATACATGTGTCCAACAGGTGAGGGTATGTTAGACATAGCCTTAGCCTTGAAAAAACGACTTGTCCAACAAAAATATAAATAGATTTAAATAAATGTTTTAACAGAAATGTTTTATCCGTTTTGCATCATACAAACTATCAGCGAATTTGTAGCAAACCCTCAATTGGCTGTGGTTTCACTCCAATACATATAACCATTATTGACGTATAGAGTAGAGTCTAACGAATACAGTATCATAATTGTAGGCATATGTATGTACTGTACAGTAGATACCTGTTTGGCAGTCTCCCAAACCCCGCCTATGAAACAGTGGAAACAGTTTTGGTTAAAAGTCAAAACATAACCATGTGTTGTATCAAATACTCGCAAACCACTGACAAACTAAATCCGATTCACTTACATTGTATTTTCAATACTAGCGATCGATTCGTTTATTTATTCAAACATAAACTTATATCAAAGTTATTATATAACTAAGTGTTTATTGAATTGCCTTCAATAACTTTGGCTTAACATTGTGCTCAACATTACAATACTCTTCGAAAAGTAAGTTTTAAAACTTTTTTTTCTAAATTATTGCTACAGTTTTATTGTCAAAGAATTTTGTTTTTCTACTTTTCTTATTTGCATTCAATAGTTTTCATTTAAAGGAAAGTCTATATTTTTGTTAATTCATTACATTTAGTAATTCAAAAGATTTATTGAATGATACAAATGAGGTCTTTATTTATTATCTCAATATTAGTCCCACTTTTGATAGCAATCGCAATGACTTAACTATAAAATAGGAATTCTTATGAATTTGGGATTTGGGTTCAAATGAATTACAAGAATTTTCCCAATCATTTCATGACTCTCTCTCTCTCTCTCTCTCTCTCTCTCTCTCTCTCTCTGCTTTTCATCAGAAGATTGCATGAATTTCTACCAATGCTTTCAATTGATTCTGTTATCTGAACCACTAATTGATAAGATGTGCGACACTTGGAGTATAGATAATTGGGTGCCTTTGAGTGCTCTCAAAGCGATGTTGTTTTCCAAGTGTTGTTCATATCTTTCTAAATGTGATCTCAATTATTGGTTAACGAAAACAATTGTTAAAAGAGTTTTTCCAAAGAATTATTTACAAAACTGTGAAATATTTGGCGCTTTCATAGCGAGTGAATAGTCTCACGCAATAACCGGCAGAGTTTTCAATGAATCAATCAAAGGAAGTATATATGCATTGAAAGCAATGATAAGCTGCTATTAAATGACAGCTGCAGGCATCGCACACCTTTAACATAGAAAATGCTGAATACTGAACACATTTGTAGGTTTCCTCTAACACTCAATGCACTTGTAGTAACTTTTTTCAATGATTTCATCAGCAAATGCTTGAGTTTACTAACATTTGTGCCCTAAAGGCGCTGGTATGTGGAAACTGGTATTAGGTATCACATCATTGGTTCCACAAATAAACCCAATTATTCAAATGAATGCATAACTTTCTAATGAAAATGTTTTTCTGCATTACTTACAGTAGATTGAGAAAGAATTTTACGTAACTTTTTGCACATAAATTAATTCATATCTTATACTGTAATCGATTGCTATCTCTCTGGGATTCAATTAGAGAATTAAGGCTTAATATGAGTGTTAAATATCGTGTGATTTTCTTATCTAAAGCAAACCAAAACAAAATTTAAACCGAAAAATAAGATTTAGTGCCAAAAAGTATAGTAAATAAATATTTATGTGAATAAACAGTGCAGGGAATCGAAGGGGTATTTTCCAAAAGCCTTGAATTGTGTAAACCATTCAAATGTTACACATAATTGAGATAAACAACAACTTCAAACTTTGGTTCAATTGACTCTTTGACGTAAATAAGCAAATAATTGACTGATTGAATCACCTGTTGTTCAGTAAAACATTATAAACCAAACTTCAGACCATTGGAGACAAATGAGTGGCGCGACCGCCGGAGCCAATGATCTTCACTTGCGTTTCAACTGAACTATCAATTCCTCCTCTAAACTAAATAATCAACAAATAGTTTGCCGATTAATTCAGTCAATACATGCCATACAGAGTACTCCATACAGAGTTAGTTTGTGGACCTTTCAAGGCTGAAAAATAACTTAAATTATGTGCTTATTATTTATTATCCATTTTATTAATCAAATAACGAATTTATGCATTTGTTTGTTGGCAACAAATATCTTAATTTTCGTTGATTTCAATAATCAATTTTTTCTTGACATTTTTTCAGTGTTTTCAGTTTAATTAATAATTTATTAAATAATTTATTATATTAATATTTTGAGTTAATAGTAATAAAAGGAGTTTTAAATCAAATGTTAGCTATATTTGTGGAGTTTTCTAATTTGATGAGCGATTGAGTGGATATATAGTTAGATATACACGAGTTTTGTAATAATTATTTAGAAATGTGTCAGAAAAAACATAATCTGTTGTGAATAATATAAAGCATACATAACATCATTCTATAAGCTAATCATCACCAAAAGCTATCCTTTAATAAAGTGCATTTTGATTATCAATTATCAAACTTTTTTTTATACAACTGGTAAACACCAATGAAATAATAGGAACTAAATTAACAGTACATATGGCAACAGTGGTAGACTACAGTCATTTTAAAGACATTGGAAACAGTGAACAAATTTTTGAATAATATTCGTTAGAAACAAACCAGACGTCACTCAATACTTATTTAAATTCACATTTATCTCATCAAAGTCTCAACACTTGATTAGATCTAAACTGAACTCATTCTTCGGGCGAAGATTAGATGTGCCTTACTATTGTTTTTTAGTAAATAAAGTGCTTTTCCAGTTCATTATTCACAGCTAGAATATACTAGACTTGATCCAATCTGATCGCCGGCTCACTCGTACGGGAACTGACTTTTGCTATTATAATGAGAAACTCAATTTAATCTATTATTTCACTATTCTGTGAGAATATTCAGCTTGGCAGCGATTAATTGTAATTAATACTATATACTGTATACCGCATACCTTAACCTACTATTATATAACATATACTTTATAAAGTTTAGTACAATATATCATTTTTATAAGGAATTCTTTATCTCATTTGTAATTGAATATGAAAAGTAATATATGGACTCCCGGTTAGAACCTCTGGTATAGTATTACAGAATTGAAGTTTAATTAGAAATGTGAGGAAATATCTACAGTTGTTTCATAAAAGTATATGACGTGAAAATCTTCTGGGATTTTTCATAAATTGCATTTATTTATTTAAAATATAATTTTTTATTTATAATCATTTCATATTTCACACCAAAATAATGCTAACATTGCTATAACTGCTTTCAATTAAGATATTCTGTAAAATCATTCAATACTTATACAAATCTATAATTTGTACTGTATAAGTCTTACAAAAGTAAACTACTCGTTAGCTATATTTGTATCGCGATCCTTTTATTGCTAATAAATTCATTCCGTTGTATCCGTAGTTTACTTCACATAATATGCATAGCTTTAATATATTGGGGGTCGGGTGTGATTGGCCCACCGGATGGGCTTTAAGGTGCATTTAAGGTCATTGCAATGAAAACTAATTAATTAATTCATAAAATAGACACATATTTGTTGACTCTATTGAACCGTCCGAAAGCAATGAGAAGCCAAGCATTTTGTCTTTAGTTATTGTTTGCATCAAATGAATACCTTATCCAAAGCCGACCGCATTTCGTCGACTTCATGGCTTAGATTTTGACATCTCTTTTGATTCAATGTTAGCGTGTCGTTGATATCCGTGTAATGTCTTTGAGATGCCTCTAACTCCAGAGTTAAATCCTTAAAGATTATGAAATATCTATTACATAACAATAATTAATTATACGTAAGAATATAGTGATTACGGAGACGAGTTTGGCCTGTTTTTTAAGCATTTTCTGTAAATCTCCGATCTGTCGGTCCTGATCATCAATAGTCAGCAACAGATCGGTAACGTCTTGAGTGAGTTTAGTCTTGATAAGAGTGGTCTCGTGTTTCACTTTGTCTTCCGTATCTGTCAACTGTTGGACCACATTATCGATCTGTGACTGCAATTCGCGGCTAAATATATAACGAGAAGAGAATTAATTATTAAATAAACATTTAGACAAATGATTTGATTGAATGACAGCTCCTGTAAAGTGACTTTCAAATGAAATGTACTTCAGAAAGTTTAGCAATACTTAGCAATATAAATACTAATTACATCACATTACACTCGCCGTACACGAGATTTACTCGTGGTAGTCATCTACTATACTGAAAAAACTTGAAAATTAAACACATTTTGATTTATTAATAGTAACTCTATCTAAACCTAAATCACATGCTTTTGTCTATCAATTCCTGAATAATTAATAATATTTATATTTAACACATGGGGTTCAAGGATTTGAACACATTTCTCTCAATATAGACAAGCAATTGACAAAAAGGAATTACAAATCGTTAAAATTTATTTCTTAGACATAAATCTTACAAATTGAATGCAAAAATTCAATTCAATTTACTTATAATAAAGACAAAATAATAAGTATTTTACAGTTCAATACAAATATTGAAAGTTTACAGGAATTTCAATCAAATTACATAACATAACATAAAATTCTGATTTGAGTTTAATTGAGAATCACTTCCAGAATTGAGTGATTTTGTAAAATATTTGACATGAAATAAATAATTAATAGGAATTCATTAGAAGGGATTGAATGCAAAGAAAAACAGAATTCGTGCCACAAATAGATGCCACAAATCAGAGGGAAAGACAAAAAAGCTTAAGAAAATATATTATTAAGTGTTAATAGGATTAAGAAAATAATAAATATTGAAGAGTGCATGAAATGAGTTAGTATTCAAACAAATCAGTGTTTGGAAACTATCCAAAGAGCGCTTTTTGAGTCGATTTCAGTCTTGATATGGTCTCCAAATGAGACCTCTCTCTCTCTCTATCTCTCTCTATCTCTCTCTAACTCTAAACCTAACCTCAAACCCAATCTAAAAGGCTCGCAATAGACTCGTCGGATAGAGATTATAGGAAACACTTCTCAGGGAATTTCTATACCATCTCTCCATCCAAAAGTTGGGATTGTGTTGACCCTCGTCTCTGTTGAGCAGCGATTCCTCGTAAGGAGTGGACGCAACCAAACCTATAGTACTTTCCGGTCGACGTCTGCTTCTTGTCGATCGACTTCTTCGGAGCTTTGATTCCTCGATATCGGAGTTAATATTAGCCAAAGCTTTGGTGTAGTTATCGAATGACTCCGAATGTTGTAGTCTTCGGGCAAAGGCTGCCGTCTCGTCAGCTCTGGCTCTCGTAGAGCTCATCGATCGGATGCGATCCGACTCGAGAGTAGCCGCGGCCACGGCCGCAGATGCCAGCGCTCGTTGCCGTTGAATAATAGACTCTCCGGTGAGTTGGCTGTCGGAGAATGAGCTGAGGTTGAGGTCTGGGCGGTCGGACCTGAATGTAGTGCGGGCTAAGGCCTCGTTGTACTTGCGCTCAATGTTGGAGATCTCGTCGGAATACAACGAATTGCCGTATTTGTAGTTATCATTATAGATGTGATTGTAGGGTCGCTTCCATACTCTGGGCGCTGAATATTTGGGGGCCATTCTTGATTAGTTTTCAAACTTTTATACTAGGCCACTTTTCAAACAGTTATACTCTATATCTAAACAATGAATGAGTGGAACACATAAAGAGTAAAACAAATTCTACAACAAAACGATTGGGAATTTGTTAACAAATCCTTTATTTGACTTTAAGTACAAGAAGTCTCATTAGTTTTACGCAATTCCGTGTTTCTGATGTAAAACTGATGTCAGGCCCTAATGTCGCGCAAAATCTAAGGTTTATTTTCAAAATTTTGTCGCTTTTAGGCTCACTATTGCCAACAATTCTCTTGATTTTCTTTTTATTTATTTTTAGACACATATGAGTCTTAAATTTGCAAATGTAATGCATTTATGTTTCCTGCCCTTGGATTCAAGCAATAAGAAATAAGCTCTGAATATAAACTACTTTTAAATTTAAATTGAATGTAATGAGACATTTGATGGATATAAAGGATATTTAAAAATAAAAATCTCTATATTTGAAGACAATAGAAAGACAGTGAAAATGGTTTGATTGAAAGTACTGTAAACATAGTGTACAGAAATTAAAGACAATCTTTGCTCTCGTCCTTCACTTTCTTTTGGGTCTTACCTCCACTTTAGGTCAACATATCTGGGGGTCTCTTATCAGATAACAAATGATTTATGAATGACTTTTACAAACGGCTATAAAACAATTCTTTGACAATAAATACCTTTCATACAATAATTGAAGCCTATTTTAAACGAAATAATAATTACTAATAAATTGTTTTCATTTTAAAGTTAAGACCATTTTAACGGAATCGGTTGAACCAAGAAAATCATTATATCAGATATTTTCAAATATTTTGGCACAAAATCTGGTGAAAATGTTAGAAACGATACAGAACTTCGTGAGCAATGTCTCGACGTCTCTAAACTCAAACTCGTGGATATACTCGACCCAAGAGGCCAAAAATCCGAGTTCTCCACCCGTTTGCTGGAAAAGTCTAAAACAATACACTCTGTCCGAAGTGGCCGAACACTTCCACTACAACGACTGTTGGCTCGTTGTCTATGATCTGGTCTATGATGTGACCGTTTTCCTCAATGAACATCCCGGAGGAGAGTATATAGTGATGGAGAACGCCGGACGTGACGCCACCCTTGCATTCAGAGGGTCTCGTCATAGCAAAGATGCCTTCGATATGCTCGACAAATACTGCATCGGAATCCTCGTCGAAGTAAGTGAAGCTTTCATTTAATTTCATTGATTGTCATATTATTTGCTATAAAGTGATTTACTAACTGATATTCATTTGTTTGTTTAGACGGAGAGAATATACACGCCTTCCGACGATGAACTGGCTCTTCAGAGTGACTCTTGATTACAAAACTATAGAAACTATTTTGTCGGTTGTGTCACTCATTTGTATTTAAAGTTCATTGATTTCATACAAATTATATAAATATTGTATAATATATTTATATCTTATCAATAATTATTTATTTATTTTTCTATTAAACCAAATAAAAGTAAATTAAATTAAAATAAGATTTGAGTTTGATTTCATTCCATCATAATAATCAGTTAAAACTAACTGGATACTGTATATTTTAGTGATTCAACTAATAACTCAATACTTTTTAATATGTAAACCCAAATTACCTTTTAATTTTATTCTTATAAAATTCACTAAATAATAGTAATGTAATATTACTACGGTTATAAAAAATCATCAGTCAAAAATAAATATCTTAAAACTTTTTAAAAATCATCAAAAAGTTATTCACTAACTAACTTATACCGTAATATGTTATTTATAATTTAAAAGATAAATATTAAATAGTTTAACACTTTTAAAAAATTTTAACAAAAATCACTCTACATTTTTTGGCGATAAATATTTTGTACTTAAAATTTGTAATAAATTATACTAAAATGACAATCAAATAAATCTCAAATTAATATATTACTCTGTGCTTTATTTTACATATTATAATAACAAAATTCCATATAAGTTAAAACAATTTCACAATT